TTTTTTTTTTTTTTTTTGTAACTAGAACGTTAGAGCGACGGAAAATCAGCGATTCGTGCAATTTCCGAGAGCGTGAACGTGCTGTCATATAACGCAGAATAGCGGACTGATTAAAAATAGGGCAGCTGTCAAAATGACTCGAAACTTAGAAAAAGTACAATCGGAAATTACTCTGTCGGGCCGATATGTCGAGCCGATAGCAAAAGTTTTATCGAACTATGTATGTACATCGATTTTTCTTCCAAGATTGCGTTTGTGTGAATACGTGCGAGTTGCAAAAACCGTCTGTATGATTTTAGTTGCTAGAACGTTATATTTAACGACAGCTGACGTACACATCGTTTAGATGCTTAATTTACCGTTTATCCAATATGTATACTTATGTCGAAGCTATATAAAATCCTATATGAAGTGCTAATTGATTGCAAGTTGTTATATATAGTGTTAGATAGCGTGTGTTTGCCTATCATATCACTATGTAAAAACGCTACCATAAGGTACTCGATACTTATCTATAATACATGTATTAAATCTTTTTAATAACGGTGACTATTAATGTTATCGTTGGAAAATTCTCATCTCGCTGTCGCGATTGCCCCCGATTGATACTACATGATACGAGAATATGCTTTAACGCGCCCCAAGAGTTCCTCTTTTTTTGCAAATCGCTCGTAGGGATCGATATGCGATGTGTCGACCATGTGTAGCGGGTATTACAGCGATGCGATGTTCGTGTATCCAAGCTAAGCGAGGGAGAACGGATAGAACAGGCACGTATATCTGCAAATCGGTTTCGAAGTTGCCGACCCGTCAATTGTTGTTTCTGTTTGTGATGTAACTTTGTCACAGAGAAAATCAATTAATTCGTGACCCCGTCCGTAGTCAGTCACTTCTCGTGTCGCAGCCATCTGCGAATAAATCTTACGACGATCGACCGACAGGCGATACACGCAGTTGATTAAGTATCCCGTAATATAAAAAAATAATGCAGCCGCGCGATTATAAACCGATAAATTAATATTGCAACTAATTATCGTGACATGGACGTCAAGCCTTCCCTGAACGATTTCCTGACATAATATAGCTCGTGTATTATAATAATTGTCAATTCGTATTATTACACGTTCGAAAAAGCAAAACATTTACGATTATTCTCGTTAATTATCATGGTTGTTTGAAAGAGAAGAAAACATTGGAAAGTACAATTTTTTTATGAATTAGATACTGGAAAAGCATGACATAAAATAAACGAGGTCACTGTTAAAAAATTGTATACCATGCACATTTTTATGTTAATTAAGCATCTGAATAGAAATGCTTACACGCAAAATTGATAAATTTTAATAAGCAAACGAGGTATAATATACGAAACTACAATTTTTCCAAACATTTGAATTATTCATAGCGAATTCAATTGAACGTACGACTGTACATTGGTAGATATTAAAGCCATTGTGTACTAATTTAAATTGAATAAAAAAGTAAAAAAAAATTCGAATTATAAAATACATATTTTACCCAACGGCACAAAAACGTATCTTAATAAGTATTTCA